GTAATTTGTGCAAATGACATTTAAAACTGAGCTAGGGAGGAACAGAAAACAAATTAAAGACTTAAAGTAGAACTAGCCTTTCCTCCCCTACATAGTGGACGTAAGTTGTTCATATCCTATTGGAAAGATGCATTCAAACAAAGTTTAGCAAATACGTGTTCTGGTAAGATGGAAAAAGGTAATAAGCTTCACAGCCAGAGGATGTGCATCAGCTTTCCTTCATAAGGAGTGAGAAATAGCATATTTACTCTGTGTGGGTGAATGGGTGGCAAAAGGGTAGATGCTGCTGCTTCTAAACTTCTGTATGTGTTATGGGGGAAGCTGAGAATACACACAAAAGTGATTTGCTTTGGTGGAAGGCTGTTCTGTCTGTTCTGACCGACGTAATCGAGTGCCTCATGACAAGCAGTTTCTGTTGATCTCTTGCTTTGAAGTGTGCTGTGGTTCTTGTTCTGTGAGTTTAAAAACTGCACGTATTTGTCATCAAGCAATGCTGCTGTGCGTCACTTCCAGTTTGAATCTTGCTGTTGCACTATGATTTCCACGCTTCTCTGCCCCAGACTGGAATGACTGAAAAGAGTAGGGCCTTTGAAACGTGTAAAGTATGTTGTTACATTTTTTTCCTCTGCAACAACAGGAATAAATTCAGTAGCATTAAGGCAAACTTTTGATGTGAAAAATAAAGGGTGACAGCTTAGAGGGCATTGTGCTACGTTTTCTTTAAGCAAATACCTGAGTACAGAAACTGAAGAGGCTGACAAGAGTACTGTCAAGATGAAAAAGGTATAAAGACTCTGTAAACTTCTGCCAGCAAAATCTTGGTTTCAAACCAAAAATCTTTAGGAAAAAAGATGGATGCTGTCACAAGTGCCTTGACTTTACTCCCTATGCAAGAACATACACGTACAGGTTTATATAAAATATTGCCTCTTGTGGTAGGTGCAATGTAAGTGTCTGCTGCCCATTCAAGTTAATCTGAATGCAATCATACAAGCTAAGAGCACTTCTTGCAACCTCTGCTGCTTTAGTTTCAACTCTAGATAGCACAGCTCTTTCCTGATTGTAGCCCAAGATGTATCGTAATCTTGCTGAGGGGATGCCTGGTTAGTTTAACAAAATACAAAATAACTCCTTCCTGCTGCAGCAGAAAAAAACTAAATGTGTTTAGAGGACACAGTATTGGGTGTCTCATACTTGGAACAATGTTCATGGACACTGTAGCTGTAGCAAGGAAGTGTGGGATTGCAAATAGGCTAAATTTCTGCCCTTGCTTGCTGCTGTTACCCGTGGGTGTGCAGTTTGTCACCTGCAGTCAAAGCCAGACTCTTTGGCAACAGTGTTATGTGATGTGATTGCATAGCCAGAGCCTGTGCAGTCAGCTAAGGCTGGTGTTAGAACTGCAACATCAGAAAAAGTGCTTTAAAAGACTTCAAAAAGTTCTACCTTTCTCCAACTGCAAGCTCCTATTTGAAGTTGGATTAACTCTTAGAAGAAGCTCTTGGCCTAAAACTACTCAAAGGAATCTGATATCCCTGCATTGCCTGCTATAGCTCCAGTCCTTAACATACTTGCTTGAGAGAGGTGCTTAAAAATGGCTTCAGGAGTCAGTGCACTGAGCAACAAGTATTAAAGCCCCCCTCCCTGGAGCTGAATGTGTTCTGGGAACTGAGATACATAAAAATCTGCCTTCTGGCAGCTCATAACTGGGAAGGGGCATCTCTAACCAGTACTGTGGTCAGAGCATTCACCTGGCTGGGGAAAGTTTCGGTTGCAGTTCTCTGTCCAAAGGAGTATGTATCTCCCTTCTGAAAGGATACAGCGTTCTGTCTCTGTCCAGGGCCTTAAAATTGCTTTCTCTGTCTCCTTTCCAACTATACTTAACGATTAACTGGAAAGATTAGATAAGGACCTCAGCTTTTGTTACCAAGAGCCTGTCCCCTATGTATAGAGAAGTTTGACCATATAGGCAGTGCCATGTGCCTTCCACATCACTTGGTTGCAGTTACAGTTGCTTTTAAGCCAGTCAGCTTCTGGGAAGTGTCAGAGTTTGCTCCATTCTAAAATACTTCAGGGTTGGTTTTACATGGTTGTGTGCTGCTTCAGTATCATCTGGCACAGCAGTCATCATACCAATGCAAAAAATGTGCCACAGCAAATTAAGACAGCCAGGATTCAAATACTTCTTCCAAGTAGATAAAAATTAACAAATAAGCTCATCTTCAAGCTGGATGTGCAGCTCTTACAACTGTGGGCCAGCTTTTAGAATAGCATTGTAAACAACGTTAGCATAGGCTGTGCTTTATACAAGTGCATTAATGATGGTGTCAAGAAGCACACTGGATTTACATGTGATGCTGGGGGAACAGGCACATTCATACAAGGTTCCAGAGCAGTTATTGTGTCTTTTTAAGTTTATAATGTAGTCTTCATGTATTACCTCGTGACTAATACTGTCTACTAGTATACACTCTGAAGAACCTTCTAATTAGCAACTGCTGCAACTTACTCTTTATTCACATGAGGACAGCTAAAAAAAGACCCTATGGAAACCATTCAGTGTAACTGTTCAAGGGGCTCGTGGAAGATGCCAAGCAGCACCAACCCAAAGAGGTCACACTCCTGTTTTAGTAGCATAATGGGTAAGTACTTAAGTTTCTTGAAAGAGCAGCAAGGAGCCTGTTACACCTGGTAAAGGAAAGGGAACAGTGCAGCTCAAAGCACGATCACAAGCCTGTTCTCCCCAATCCTGTGTTGCACAGCTTTCTGCCAAGGAAGGACTTACTCTGCAAGTAGCTCCATGTGTGATCTGGCACTGCTGGGCAGTTAAGGGAGCATCAGCCTGCAGAAGTCTCCATGCTGATGGTAAGCAAAATAACTTCATACAGTCACCTCTAATTAAGACACTAAACCCAATGAACATACAGAGGTTAATACTCTCCTGGTAAGATCCTTCCTCTAATTTTTAGTTAATAAAAGGACTAACTGGGGATGAACACAATACTTTACTGGTAAGGTCTCCTGAAAGATCAGTGGTTGCTGCAAATACTCTGTTATATCTGAAATAGAACAAAATTTGCTAGCAGTTTAAGTTTGGATACTAAAAAAAAAAAAAAAATAACTGCTACATTACAAACTAGAATCCAAACTACTCCTGGTAGTAAAAACACAAGAACATTCAACTTAATTTGACTGTTTTCCTAGTGACAAGAGGTACAAGAAACTGGTTTGAAGCTGGATTACAACTTGTTCAGCTACTTGAAGTAGGTTATGGTGTTTACTGTTGCTTAAATATGCAAGCTGAAATGCAACTACTGGGCTGATACCAAATCAAGATGAAATTAACATTTAAGAAGTAAACAGACCAGAAAGGAGATGCCTGAAGAAGATGATGTTTTCTCCACAGCAGGCTATAGCATAAAGGCTTAGAGGTGAGCACTGAAGATTTCTCCCTCAGTTTACACACAGCTGAATTAACCCCTGCTCTCTGCATGTGACAGCAAAGAACCTGGCCAGAGGAAGCATTAATAATATTAGAAATATGTGCAAGACTAGAAGTCAATGACTCATTCTAGTTTATTTTTTTTGTGCTTCTCAGAGAAGGTTTTACAGAAGTGTTTGCTACATGTTTTTTCCCTATTTTTCAGGAACTTGTGAAACATGGTTAGACTGTCGTCTGGTAAGCTAGCAGCTTACCAGCCCTTCCAGGGCTTCTTTGCATGTAAACCGGCCGGTATTTTATGATTACAGAGTTTGAGTTCCAGTTCATGGCTTAACAGTAACTACTTAAGTGATGCACTTTGGTACTTGTGGACTGCATTAAAAAAAAAAAACCCAACCAACCAAACTTCCTCCATATGTTTCTTTCCTCCCTCTTCTTCCCTGTTTCCATGTACTGAAAAGAAACAAACAAACAAAACCCCAACAAACCATTCAGTTCTGGTACACAGACATGACCTCCCAGTAGCAGAGCGTGCATTTGGAAGGAACAATACAAAGTCTTCTATTGCTGCCAAGACATGAAGTCTCCATAGCAGGAGCATATGCACTTGCTTAGGGGCAGCTTTCTGGTATGCCCCATACCATACTGCTCTAAGGCGAGGTTACATAATTTAAAACATCTTACCCCTCACTGACTTCTACAGGAGCTTGAACACCTCCTTCATGTTCCCTTGAAAAAATATACAGGCATCCTCTCAAGCTGCCATTGGCCCATCACACGAACTAAAGGCGGCTTTTGATTAAAATGAGCACATCAAAAGCAAGACAAGGTTGAGCATGAGAGCAGAAAAGTCCTTTTACCTCAGCATTGATTTACTGGTGCCTTGGAAGCTTCACTACTCCTAGCAAGGCTATGTAGCAAGACTGTGGAAACAATTCTTATAATTAGAGAGCAAAATGAAAGACAACTTTTCTCACCCCAGGAAGAAGGCTTGGACCCTAGCACAGCATATTCTGCCTGCTATGAAACCCTAGGGATGTCTCCAGCTTTGTGTGGTGAGGAAATCGGTACATATGTGAAATCAGGCACTCTTTCACAAATTTCCTAAGTTCCTTGGGATGGGTGGCTACACACCTGACATCAGGAACTCCCCGCAAGGAAAGTTTAAGCAGCAGTGGGTTAGGGCTGTCTACACATGTGTCAGACTTTTTAAAGCTACTGGCAAAGAGTAAAGTGCTTGTACTAGAATAAAAAACATAGCTTAGAAGGGTCAAATCAATGCAGAGCTCCAGTGCAAATTTGTCTTCTGACACAGCCAGAAAAATCACTTAAGGATATAATTAAAGGCAACAATTTTTGAAGTTCTCTTTGGTTAAGGCAAGAGCTGGCAGCTTTGAGTCCTCTCAGCTCAGATGTTCATGTTAAAGCACCAGCTGCCATGTTCAAAGCAACTGGTGCTACCAACAGCAGCAACGATCTCCAAAGATACTTACAAGCCAAACTGCAGACAGATATCAGAGAGTCACATCAGAACTCACATTTCAGGCCACATAGCACACATCAATTGAACAGAACAAAATCAAACAGCCTCAGAAGAACAATGACTTCCAAATGCTTCCTGAAGTTTCTCTTCAGCAGGGGCACTGGGTCTTCTCCACACTTGGACTGGCAACCACTGGCCTGGAATCAAGGTAGATGCTGTTGGGAGGGTTCTCTCCATGCAGCTGTAAGGTATTTCGGGCTATCAGCTCCTTTGCCATTAAGGTGAACACCTCTTCTATGTTTTGAGCTTCTTTTGCAGATGTCTCCAGCACAGCTAAGAGCCCATGCTTCTCTGCCAGCGTGCAGGCATCTTCAAACAGGACTTGGCGCTTCTCCAGCGAATCCGATTTGTTCCCTTAAAAGATGGCAAATAGATAATCCAGTAATTTAGTTTCTCAAAAACTCATCCTTTAAATGCAATACATTAATTCAATTTTGTTAAATAACAGAATTGTGTTAGGAATAAGAGTTACTCAAAAAAAAGCAAACTGTGAGCACATCAGATCCACAAACATAGAATGTGGATCAAAACTGCAGCTCATCATGATGATATCCAATGAGTTTAAAACAAACAAACGAAAACCCATAAAAGCCCCAAACCCAAACGAACGAAAACCTGTGTTTATCCAATTACCTGCTGTAGGTGGCTGTGCCAGAGCATTATTTGGAAGCAACTGTTTGCCCCTGTCTCCTGGTATTTTCAAACATTAAGTAGCATTTAAGTTAAATATTTTTAAAAAAATAATCTTAGAAATCTTGGAGCTATAGTGACTGCACACAGGAAACCAAAAAAATGTTGCACAAAGGTTTAGTCCTCACTCAGCCTTCAGTGGAAGCCACATGTGTTACGCTACTGCCAAGTAACTTTGACACATCTCATGACCTACTTGTACAAGTCAGTAATTTTAAGATGGTGACAAAAGAGACAAGAATTCACACCAACTACCTTAATGCTTCAAATGTATACTTAAGAAGTTTCTGCACATACAGATTAAAACTTTACTCAAAGCAACTTAGTCAAAATCTGTCAGAAGTCATGAAACACCTCAGATAAGTATACAAAGGTATTTTAAGTAATTGCAACATGCAGAATTATCATCAGTTCTGGTACATGCAGTACCTGGCTAAAGTCTGCATTCATAGTTTCAAGACAACCTTTCATCAAATTCAGATCTTTAATTTGAAACATACGTAAGCCAATTCCCCAAAATGAAGTCCCTTCCAGTTTTTCTAAGAGGAAAAAACCAACCAAAACTCAAAATAAAACCACAGTGCCCCAAAACCAGCTTGCTTGTGGGTTATTCACCTTCTTAAAAAGAGTCCCCTTCTTTACTTCAGTTCCAGATGGGAAAGTTACACTTCTTAACCTTAACCTCATACTGGAAAGGGGTATAACATGACTACATGTAATTAAATGTACAAAGACTTCCTGCAAAGGTAAGTGAAGCAAACAGCACCAGCTTTGGAGGAAAGAGCAAAGTTCTTGAGAAAAGATTTATTTTTACCAAGTTCAGAACTTTTCTTAAAAAAGAAAAAATAAAAAAGAGCAGCCTCACCAGACACACAAAAGGTCTTGTTCTTTAGATTCATGAGAAAGGTTAGAAAAGCCCTACCACAGTTTAACAATTTTCCCCCCCTCCTTACTCATCCCAAGCACTGCAGTTATATGCAGGTCAGAATTTGCTATTTTCCAGCGGAAGAACAGGAAGAACAACCACGGCAGAAGTGATTTGCTAGGAGCACAGGCAGCAGCTTAGGTCCCACGCCTGCTGCACTGCGGGGCCCAAGGCTGCCTATCCCCAAGGGCCAGGCTGGGCTGCTGCGTGCATTGCTCTCGGCACAGTGCCACAGCGGAACAGGCAGCAGCAGTGGAATGTAAATAAAGGCTCTGCCATTTTCCTACACCACTTCTCGCCTTTGCAGCCTCTTCCTTGGGGGAGGGAAGAGCACTAATAACCTGAACCACAATGGGCAAGAGCCACGCTGCTTCCTACCAGCTCTGTTCTCCTAAAATTTCTAGCTGTTACTTTCCTCAAGAGGCAAAGTTTCCTGAACACTGGTGGAATAAATGTGGAGAAGGAATGCAAGCAGACTACTTCATGCTCTGCAAAAGCCATGTCCCCATCTACTCTCTTACCTGATCGGAGTCCCATTACAGAGCAATGCACACGTGTATCGAAAGAACAGAGAGGAAAGATGAGAATGAGGAGTTGTGTTGCTCTGTGCATTCCCTTTCATCTTGAATTATTGAGCTGCTAAATTCCTGCGCATCAGGAGGACAGGGTCAGGCTCACTGCAATTCTAACCTCAATACGGTTGTCCCTGCTTGCCAGACTAGCAGCAGGTTTGTTGCATTATTCCAGCAAGAAAGGAATGCATAAGAAGGTTTCATTGTCTGCAATGGGCTTGGTCCTCTCAGGACCAGGCTGTGACTTCCCTGATTTTTTTAAGTGTAAGTCAAATTGGTACAATTTCCTACCTACTTTGGTTACAACTGCATTCTTCTTTAATGTATAGTTTATAGATGCTTTAAGTAGTGGGGGGGAAGTGAAGGGGTTTTATACATGTATTAAAAAAAGCTATACAACATAGTATTTAAAATTAGATTCCTACCAATTAACATCATGACCAAGTTTGCAGCACCATACTTTTCAATTTCATTAATCCAGTGAGGAATGGATTCAAATGTGGACCTCCGAGTAAGGTCATAGGCAAGGATGGCCCCGTGGGCACTCCTGTAATACGACTGGGTTATTGTTCGGAAGCGTTCTTGACCAGCTGTGTCCCACACTTGGATCTGTAAGAGAAAGGGTAGAAGTTGTAAAGACCAGTGAACGCTGCTTCCTAGGTGTCTGCCATCAGCATCTATGCCTTTGAAGCCTTTTGTCCAAAAGGCAGCTAGACCTGTCCCAGCTCACTCCACTACACCCACAGCACAGCTTTGCCCTCTCTTTCTGAGGAGACATTTCCATGCCTGTAAAAAAAAAATCTACACAGACCAAAGAGAAAGCTACGAGGGTAAATACAGCTTTGCAAAGAGGTCAAGAAACCCAGTTTCAACAACTGTATCAAAAGATAGAGAGCATTACAGGCTTTTAATAGGAAAAGAAGAAGAGCAAAGAAGCCCTGACGCAGGGCTAGGGAAAGCAAAGCTATATAAAGGGCAGACATCTGAACTTTCATTTGCCATCTGTGCATGGAGGTAAGTTCTAGCTAACAATTTCTTCCGGTGTTCATCTTGCAAGTCTTTATCTTCCCTCAGATCACACATGCATCAAAGCAGAGCCTCTGCAAACTAGAGGGTTTTCCCTCCTCTGTGTCCCAGCTCAAACTCTCACATCTCTGAAGGAAGGAAAAGACCTCCCCCCTAAACCAGAGCCGGCTTGCAAAGAGCACCCTGCAGGCAAAGTGCGAACCCTCTCCACAAGTAGATTTAGAGAAATCACGAGGCCAATTGTGTAGCCAAATTAGGGTGACTGCGTCGCCCAGGGCATCTTCTTGAGAGAAAACTCACCAACACCCCTGGTGAGAAAATCCCCGTGCATCCTACTGCTCCCCCTGCACCTGCATGAGAATGGCGACACGGTAACGGGGGAGCCAGTGCTGCCCACTGAGCAGCCTGGGCTCACTTCGGCCCCTCACCTTCACTTTCTTGCCGTCGATGTCCATGGAGCGCACGGTGAAGTCGACGCCGATGGTGTTCTGCTGCTTCTCGTTGTACTGCCCCGTCTTAAAGCGGTGCACCACGCAGGTCTTCCCCACGTTAGAGTCCCCGATCAGGATGATCTTGAAGAGGTAATCGAAGGCATCGTCCGCGCTGGAGCTGGAGAAAGGCATCGCGGCTCCTGGGCGAGCCTGCGGTAGCGGAGCGTAGTACTGAGGGCGGGGGGAGCCGCTGCCCTGGCCCAGCTCA